TTAAGATCTTTTTTCATAAATTGAGTACTTCATACAGCCTTTTGAAATTTTATGTTTCCGGTTTTATTGATATTTAATGAGTATTAAAAATTGAAGAAAGGATCAAAGCTTGTCATGATATTCCGATAACTTTTTATAGCTCTAACAAAGATATTCATGTTTCGAGGTTTCTGCTGTCACATAAAATTCATTTGATAAGTCACAACCGAAAAGCAGGACGTCGCGGTTACATTTTAATGGAACCGCAAGTGTATTTAATACGAGAAAATGAACTTCATTATCAATGCAATTATTAATCTTGCCGTCTGGACGTTGAAAATGCATCGTTTTTTCGAAATCAATGGTAGAATTTAGAATCATAGACACTCTGCGTTTCTCAATATCTTTCGATGAAACAGAGTTTATTGACTAAAAAATGAAGTTTGGTCAAATTCGTTAACTTCAATTTATCGTCTGTGATAGAAAGTGAATTGGTTACACGGGATCATTTGTCTTCGATGAATTTGGAAAACCATTTGGCGCGTAAATTCTATTTTTTACCTTATAAGTTACCTTACTAAAACGTGAATGAAACATTTTAACAGTAGCGTATACTTCAATCATAAGCTCACTCGTTCACCTCAAAGTCAACACAATTTTCACGCATCGACTTTTCAACCCGTCTACCCTCCCCCTATCCTCCGGTGCCCTGTCAAAACCCGAACGTCGAACACCTCACGACCAAACGCTCTGTCGAGAGGTCATTGACGCCCCGATTCGTTAAATCCGAGCGCAGAGAGAGGTGTGCCGTTCGCGCACCTCGTGGTCTCCTCGACGGCGCGGCGCTGGAATCTCTGAGACGCTTCTCGGTCGAAAGAGAAACTTTCGAACACAACGAGAGCAAATCCTTCCCCAGTGTAGATCCGACGCGATAATTGCATCGTTTTCTCATGAGCTCGTAGTTGTATTTGCATCGGTTGATAAGGAGCGAGTCCTTCGTCTCTGTGCAGCAATGTGCTGCACTCGCACATGCTCACGGTCTCACGGAGAAGTGCATCGTGTGCTACCGGTGGCGTGCGCATACTCTTCCTGTTGTCATCTTTCTCTCCGTTCGTCCCTCCGCGTCGCGTCATCATCCCATCTCGTCCCTTCTCCGTCGGTCCTCTACGATTCCCGACGTCGCCCTCTTCGTCACACGTTCGCCGGGTTCGGTCGATCACCCTCCGCTTGTACTTCTTCGTCCCGCTGCAACTTCTCACTCTCGTTTCCCTCCGCGCACGAACCCGATAGCAGTTCAGCTTGCAGCTGACGTCGCGCACGTCTCTTTCTCTCTTTGCTTTTCTCCTGTCCTTCTTTTCTCGCCTTTCCCGATCGTTCCTCTTCCTTGCGCCTCGTGATATCCAACACACCCCCGTATCGGCGTTGGTACCGCGAGTGCGTGTGTATGGTATGTCGTCGGGCAATGGGCCGGCCCGGCCTGGCCAAGATGAATTGCGGTCGTATCGAAATGCGTTTTGGGACATGAATCCGGAAGTGGCGATTCTTTATGGCGAATAATTCCGTTTTTGGATTGTCAATATGGTTGTTAACGATGTAGAGTGACGAATGAGATGTCTCGTAAAATTTCGATTTCGTTTATTAAACAGTCTAATCATTTTTTGTAATGTCCACTTCGCGATTCTCATAGTTTTTTATGCCAAAACAATACCGGAAGTAGAATTGCTTTATCATGTACTGTTTAGCGGTAAGAATAGCGGTTTTACTTAGTTTAGAGTACGTAAGCCACAATTATACTTATTCTGAACAGCTTAAAATCAACATCAGGGTAACGGAAGCACTCAACCGAATAAATGAGCGTCGTTAAAACGAACCACACTTTTTTTTTTAAAACACCCTATCTAGTTGACTGTAGCTGTTGCCTCACTAAACCTTCATGCGCACGATCTTTGATATCTCTTAAAAAACTTTGTCAACAAAGTATAAACAAGCTTTTCATATTCATGCTGTGGAATTTTATTTTTAATATCCATCTCTTAGCATACATTTGTATAATTGTTTTGAATAAATACATTCAAATTGACTTGTCTCATTGCCAGTCAGAAGTCAAATTGCGCGGATTCGAATTTCCGTAGAGGTGAGATCAGTTTTCGAAGCGATCGATAAAATTAACGGTAACAATAGCTCGTTGGAAGAACGTACTGAAGTTGAACTCTTAAATGAACTTGAGAAACTGGAGAACACGGAAGAAGAAGAAGAAGAAGAAGAAGAAAGACGAACGATTCGGGTTCTAGCGTTAGCGGTTGTTGAACGCTTACGTGACGTAACATATCGCGCGTCTGCACGCGCGCACGCGCCGCTTCTATGCAAGTGTTCGCTACGCGCAATGACGTCACTCGGATGGGTGGGTGCATCTGAGCCGGCGATAACGACGAAGAAGTTCGGAGAGATGCAAAGAACTTCCGCGTTCTTCAAATCAAAACGTTTCTTTGGAGCGTCGAGGCGAGCAGCCACTTTATAAACGAGAGGGCAGCCAGCGTACTCACGCTTCGATCTTCATTAAATTTGCTCCCTCAAAGTTCCATCGAATCGATACTTGTCAATTAACTCAATAGCAATAGAACGATCGATTTAACGATCGGTATATAAAATGAGGAACATGCTTGACAGGGTGGGAAATAATTAAATTTTGTTAATTCTGCTTGGTGTGACTTATTATATTAGCATTATTTAAGACGAAACATTAATTGTATAACACAAAATTATATTTAAAAATAACAGATCTTTCAATCCATCATTCAATCAATAAGTCGATTAGTTTTCTATTATAATCTACTTAAAAGCATAGGTCGAATGGTTAATTAGAAATAAGTATGAGTAAGATAGATCGGAAGACTTAATGTCTAATAATATTCAATTATAATCTTTCAGTGTGTAATTCCAAAGCTGGGTATCCACTTGTATCGTATCCGCGTATCGCCATTGTATATCAGTGTAGACCGACATGCATTACACTGTTGCATATCAATATTTATTTACATCATTTGCACTGCGGCATCGGATCATTATCGATTGATACGCAGCGATGACAGGAAACGCGGATACAACTGGATACCCCGTTTAAGAATAAGCAGATTCGAACACAAGTTTCCAAATGATTCTTGTAGCATGTAGCAATATGATTCTTGTTGCAGCCGTTAAATTCGGGCGCATGTCGAAAAAGCAGCGGGAGAAAGTCGAGGACGAAGTTAGGTTCCACAAGGCACAAATGAGAGCGGCCTCGGAGACGGCGCCCGATAGCAGTGTATTTGAACATCAGACCCCAAGCAGTTCGGATCAACATCATCCTTACAACGGCGGGTACGTGTTCTTAAAGTAATTATGTCAAAAAAAACATAATTTAAACATATATAAGGTGTCACAAATATCATAGGACAATCGACTGAGTGGTCAATCACCATCTGGCTTGTATTACGATTTTTGGAATATAGTATATTAAATTCATTTTATAATACTAAATTGAGTTAAGAGTATACCTTAAAATAACTCATTCACATTTGAATATAAGTTTGAATTATCATACGAGAGAAATTTATTAGGTCTTTATTTATTTTTTAAAAGTACCTCAAAAATATTGCCGGAAGTAGCTGAGTTTCAGCATAAAGTTACGATTGAATATCGTACGGTCGGATAGGAAGTACGTACATATTCATCTTCATTTCTATTTGTTGATGCAGGTATGCATATAGTAGTGAATACGCATCTCCCGGCCCCGGCACGGGTGGGTCGGGATATTACAATCATCAAGCGATGACGAACTACGAGCTTAGTGCCGATTACGTCGACAGCACGACGACCTATGATCCACGACCGACGCAGACGCAGGTCGCGGACACTGTCGCCCCTGATACGCCCTCCGCAGTCACCGCGACTGGGGTACTTCCCAGCGTGGTCACAACCGGTGAGTGCTCTCCTCTCAGACTTTTTTCTAGTCTAGTCTTATCTGATTCTACAAGAAAAACTAGTGCTGGGGTTTGCTTTCTATCTTCCTCCCTGCGTTTCCAATAATATACATACATAAAATTTTGTAATAAATCTTGAAATAAATCGTTGATTCACTATATATTTGTATAAATATAGTGTGTTCATTTCTAAATAAGTTTGCTGCATTATATTTGCATATTTTATAAAACGAATCTGGACTGTTTCGTTAGAAGCCCAATGCGTTGTATTAAATTGTTAAGATATACATGCCATATTGTAAATTATCAAGATATTGTGAAAAAAGTTATTTTCTGTTTGAATTTACCTGGAAGAGAATTGAAATATTTTTATGTGTATATTTGAAATTATATTATTTAATACAATTCGGGTTTCTTATATTATTTGAATACCACATGCTTCCTGCTTGCTTTTACTCTATGTAGACATAAGATTCCCCTTATTTCGTTAAATAAATAGATTACAAGATTTGCAATTGTCTTTGACATTCAGATTTATACTTTAAGATAGAAGATTTATAAAATTGTATATTCGAAACAATAATTTATTTCAATTGTCAGGGATGTTAATGTATAATGCAGTATGCATATTTTAAATTTCAATCGAATCTAGACGGCTGACAGCCGTGCTTATTGTTAGTTGAAGTCGAGCCAAGCCGGGAGTTTATAGTTCCATTGAAGTTTATTGTTAACGAAAGAGCGGTAACAAGATGTCAATCGATGAGCAAGCAGCGCCAAGTAGTACTGGTCCCTTTCAGTAGCACGCGGCTGATACAATTATTGTGTTTATCACTGCCAGTTGACTGCACGCCGCACATTCGGTGAATAATATTGATATTGCAGCACAAAGTAATCGCACAGTAGCCACAGTCGTAAAGATACGATTGAAGTGCCGTCGGAAATGCAGACGATGTTGCAATAAACTTTTTTGGAAACAATGATCTACATGTAGATATAAAAATTTAGAAAATCATTGTACGTACTTCCTGTTGAATCTTGCTTGCATCTAACATTATTCTATTTAAAAAATTCATTAAAAAACACTTTTGTTTCGTCT